CAGGGAGAAATAGGTCCTTTGTAGGTAAAGCAAAAATTTTATACCTTGAGAAAACATTGGCATTTGAAAGAAGCATCACAAAGCTGGAGATGGGCAAAGCCAGGTGTTGGGCTGCACCGCGCAGCCCTGCAAGCTCCGTCCTCGCCCGGCTTCAAGAGTGAGTAAAGAGCCGGAGTGAGAGACAGAGGCATCAGTGGTTTCATGAATGGTGAGATCTTACATGTCTGAATCAAAGTTCTGGAGTGACACTCCACTGTGTGCAGCATACAGCAGGCGAGACAAGGTGACAGTCTTCACCCCCAGGAAGGGAGAGGGGTCACCAGTTATAGGGAAACTTATGTCAAGTTTGCTCATCAGTTACCTGGGAAACTAGCAGAGAGGCACGCCCCTCACTGCCCCTTTGATTAGCTACCCTGGTGGAGATTTTCTGATCTAAAGATCAGAGCAATCACTAGCTGGGATTGGGGCAAGTACGTAGGAAGGTCAGTCATGTGAGGAGGGTATAGGTGAAGCAGGGACTGGTGGGGCAGGGGGTGTCTGGAGAGCAAGAGAACAGCCACCCTGAGTGGTTGGTCCTACACCAGGGTCCCATGCATTCTCAGTCATATAGCCCCAAAGCTTTTTGTGCCCCTGTTTAGCTGGTTGTCAAATAGAGATGGTACCACTTGTCCCAACTTGCAGTCCACGAGGGGCTGAGTGAGACTGATTGAGGCATCAACTCAGAGGTTTCTGAGAAAGTAAAAGTGCTGTACTAAATTAAGGTGGTTTGATGTCGATTTATTTTTTATCAAACAAGCAGGCCTCTCTGGACCTCTTGAGGTTTGCAGTTCTAACCAGCCTCTTTTTGTCAGCTTCATGGTCATTTACACATGGATTCTTTGGTTTTTCCTTCCTGTTGGACCAGATTGTGGGCAATTCTTTTAGTTCCCTCATAGATGGCCAGGGCAAAAGAAAACAACCTGGGGCAGTATTTCCTCCAGAAGCTTCCCAACAGTGTAAGGATAATAAAGACATAAATATTTGGACTCTAAGATGTCAACTAAGATTCTCACCAATTTAAGACATCATCTCTCCAAAATGCACCAATGGTCATAGTAGGATGATGAGAGATTATGGGCAGGGCTGCCATGTAAGATTGCACAGTGTGGGCACTGCACACAGGTGCCCAGCCTGGGGTGAGGGCGGCCTGATATCCACTTTTCTGCACCGTTTAATTATGAAGCCATTTACTCAAGATGCTCTGCCTGCCCAGACAAACATCTTTTTCCGTTTATACAAAGGCTTTCTACAGGCTAGACGGCTTGACTATGGGTAGTTACTTAGATTCCGTCGGTAGTTGGGAGCAATTGAAACAAGCAGAGTCAAAGCTTTTTCCTTCTGCTTTAATCCAGTCCAGCCACGACTGAGGCTCCAGACTCCTCTTGTGGCCCTTTTTGCCTCCCCTACTTCCCTCTCACACATTTTCCTTCCCCCAACTTGTCATGCCTGCCTCATGCTTCTTTTCTTCCCTTCCCTCGATCTCTTTCCCTCCCATCTTTTCCCGCCCTTTTCTCTCATTCCCAGGAGACAGACAGGAACCATCCCTGATTTCCTGACCTCCTCCTTGAGCCCTGGTCAACAGTGACACCCCTGCCATCACTTAGGAGTTTCTACCCGTGGTCAATTCTCAACACAACTACAAAGTAGAAGAAATCTTGCTTCTTTATTTGATCCCTCGACCGTCCTGCCTGACACCCCTCCCTCCCTGGTAGACAGGATCCAGGACCCGCAGTGCAGACAGACCTGGTGGTCTGTTTAACTCATCTTGCGGTGTTAATGGCCAGCTGTGTTTCCCCAGTCAGAGGTGCTATCATTTAAGAGGAAGGTGCGTGGGATCCCATGTTTTAGCCATAAGGAAGGAATCTCAAAGCGGAGAGTCTGGGACAGCTCTCTGGCTGAGGTGAATCATGGAGAAGTTTTTTGCAAAGAAGCACCCCTCAAGCACGTGCTTACTCTGCCTCCAGTACCTGTGGCACCACTTTTAGGCATTTTTCACAGGGAGGCTTAAAACAAAATTTCCAGCCTCCACGCCCTCTCTCTTCCTCCTCATGCTTATATATCTGAGACTGTCATCTTTTCTCCAGAGGGCTCCTATCAGAACTTCCTAACTGACTGTCCCAAAACACATCACACCCGCTTTCTCAGCCGGGCTGGTCCAGAATCTATCCTTGGTGGTCCGGCATCTCTTCCTCACACCCTCACACCCACCAGAGCAATCCTAGCCACCCCTGTGGTGTTGATGCCACTGACCACTGGTGACCCACAAGCTCACACCTCCAGGCTGGAGGCCTTTCCTAAGCTCCGTGTCTGTCACTGTACACGCTGCCTGTTAGACACGTGCACCTGGTACCCCCAAGACACCCCAATTCAGAGGGTCCCAAACTGAACTGTCATGTCCCCACTCTGATGCTACAAAAACCTTTTCCAATTCCCAAGTTTGGGGCACAGTCATCCAGCAGCTGCCCCCTAAAAGCAGGAGGCATACTCACAGTCATCTTGACTCCTCCTAGTTCCTCCCAAATCCACCCCTTCCTCTTAACCTCACCCTCACTGCCACTAGGGCACCACCATCTCTTGCCAAGACTGTTTTCCAAAGGCCCCAGCTCCTGAGCCCATGTCCAGCCTCTCACCTTCTCAAATCACACTTGACTTGCTGCCACAAAGATTTCTCCAAAGTGCAAAGCGGAGAGTGTTACTCCTTAAATAGCACCTCTCAAACTCCTCCACGTAAGTACTCCTAATGCAGGAAAAGGGAACCCGCTCCCAGGAGTTTGGGGACAGTCAGAGAGCAGGATCCAGAAGGCTCCACCTACAACAAGAAGTTTCTTTCTAAGTCACAATATTTTACCCCATTTTGGCAATTTTGCGTTCTACTTTATAACGTACGTGTTTCTGTTTTGAAATTAAGATAACATTGCCTCCAAATCTTCCAGCCAAATTGATCCTACAGAAATCTGCATGTTTATCCTGTAGCTTCAGGAACCTTCAGGCCCACTAGTTTGAGAAGCGAGGGTCTGAGCTGAAATGCACACTTCTTTGCATGTTATACAAGGACCTTCTTGGAGGCAGCAGCCCTCCAACCAGTTCCCTGCAGTCCAGGCACACTGAACTTTGTGATTCTGTGACCATCGGACTAGTTCCCATCTCAGAATATTTACCTCTGCTGTTTCCTCTTCCTATTGAACCCCTCCCCAATCTATCTACTTATCTTCTAGACTCAAGTATCACCTATCCTGTGCAGCTCTCCATGACGAACCCCAGAAGACGGATTTAACCATCCTTCTCCAAAATCCGTACCTCTCCCATAGTGTATCTCTCAATAGATCTTAGTTCTTTGGTTATGGCTCTTTCCCACCAAACTGTGGGTTGCTTTAGGGCAGCATCTGTGTCTTATTCATCTTGGCTTTCCCAAGACCAGCGCCATGGCTGGCACGCAGTTAGATGAGAGGTCAGTCTGGCCAAGACATTTCACCCGAGTGCTCACCAGGTAGATCTGATGGATCTGAATGACCTTGGGGATGTCCTCTTCCTCTCTCATTACTCCCCCCATCCCCTCTGTCAAATGTGGTGATCCCAGATGGACAAAGGCATTACAGTCACGGAGGTATCATTAGCTTTCCTCTCCCGCTGATTCCTCCTCCAGGCTCTCAAGACCTGACACATAGTAGATTCTCCATGAATATCTGTTAAATGTGTGAATGAACAGATGAGTAGCACTATTGCTTTCTCGAATTAAGGTGCATTATAGTTTCTCAATCTTATCTTCCAGAAAATCCTGAGATCTCTGAACCCCATGATCTAACAATGTGCCAGGACTTATTAGACATTAAATAAATATGTAATAAATGAATGAATAAGTTAAGAAATGGGTTTGTGTGCATTACAGTTTCTTTAAGAGTACATGCCCTCATTTTGATTTTTCACCCTGACATCTGGTGTGTCTACCAATCTGTTAGGAATTGGTTTTTCACTCAGAAATGGAATCTTGACAAATTGATGATAACTGAATTTTTTTTTGAAAGCCCAATCTGTGACCAGTGTGGTTTTTTTTTTTTAATTTCAGGCTCCTTTAGGAGTTGAGCTTTGGCGTGGCTTTGATCTCTACCATAGCTAATATAATTTAATGAGTAAAAACCATGGTTCTCAAAGCAGGGACTATCTCTGTTTTTAAGTATAAATGCTCAATAAATGTGACTTTGAAGCATGACCCTGCTCTTAAGCATTTGAACAAAACTAAGTGAAACTGACTGATCCTCTTCCTAGCCGACAGTGGGTGCCCAGTGAATTCTTTGCTTATCATTTTTTCATACCCATCTGGACCTGGATGTGGAATATAAGAGGATGCTATCCCTGCCTTAGCCACCATTCGGTTACAACCTGGCTGCCAGGGACTAGTAAGATGTGCTTGTTTTTTTTTTTTTTTTCTTGCCAGATATAAGCCAAGTTGATAGAAACTTCAGCCTGGGGAGGATTTTTGTCTTTACCAAACCCTAGAGCAGCATTCTTCTTCTTCTTCTTCTTCCTCTTCCTCTTCCTCTTCTTCTTCTTCTTCTTTTTTCTGACTGAAAACTTCTACCAGTGAAAAAGTTTCTGACCAAACATCCCCAATACATGCCTAATTATTTCTTTATAAATTTTATACAAGCATGACCATACTAATATATCTGTACTTTTATGAAACTCACAAAAAGGGGCATCTTAAGAAGTGATGTAGAAATGAATATTCTAGAAATAAAAGTTTTATTTTCTTCCCTCACCCCAATTGATCGTGTCATCACCCCCTGGCTGAAGGACTCACAGCTTGCTCTGGAAGGCGTGGTGGGAACAAGGGTCTTCAGGGTCAGGTCACAGAGTACATAAGGGCCCGGCCAACCCACTGGCTCCCTCCCTTCAATTAATCCTATCAAAAGCAACTGGCTTGAAACTTTTCAGAAAAAAAAAATTAGAATTCAATGATAGTATGATGATTTAAAAGACTTTATTTCCAGTGGAACCAGCTTTTTATGGTCATGCTAAATGCTGTAGTTCATTACAACTAAAAAGAGCTAGACTGCTGATTATACCGTAGGATAAAGAGAAAGGCAATAAAGCTGCAATCTAGTCTGAAAGCGCGTAAAAATGGTATGGTAAGGAAAAGGGGGGTTTTATCTCTCAAAGCGATAAACCCTGAACAAATTAATTTTCCATTCCAGGGAATCAGCAGTCATCAATACAGCCCTTTGCGAAACATTTAAGATTTGTGATAATAACAAGTACTGCAGTGGCACTCCGTGTGGTTCTCCACCCTGGCGTTGCCCAGGACTGTGGCCTACAGGGGCAGGGAAGAGGGGGAAAAGATGGATGACAGCTAGATACATATAGATAGGTAGGTAGGCAAAATTGAAAACTGTTAAATAAAATTGTCTGTAGCCAGCTGAGCTAAACAGATGCTTGCCGTCTTTGCATACTCGTCTTTCCAGCTGGCATCTTCGCTCTGAAAGGTTAGGTCTGCACTGTGCTAATCTTCTATGCTCTCTCCCAGCCTGTCCCTCATCGCCTCAGCCCTATTCTCTTCATTCTGAATAAACCCAGCCTCTGCCCACAAGCTTGCTGACTCTTCTGATTAAGGTGGCCAATTGCAGCCCTTCCCTCTCCAGATACCCAACCAAGGATGGGTCACTAGGTACCTCTGGCAGTAAGCCCCACGAATGGGCTCTAGGGACATTTCTCTGGTTGAACTGTTAGAAAGTTTCTGGGACCCTTTAAGTTCCCACCTTGGTAAATGCTTTGGCCACACAGCATGTGGCTTCTGAGGTGATGTTCTTTGGGACCAACATTGTCTTCTTGGATCTTGCTGGAGTCGGATATGCTCTGGAGAAGCAGCAGCCCATGCACTGATAGACGGGGGCACCCAGCTTAGAAAAGTATTTGTTTTCCTTTAACTTGCATTCTGGGCAGCCTATCAACAAAAAAAAAAAAAAACATGAAGAGTAAAATACTCCAAAATTTTTTTAAAGGAACTATGAATTTTTCCTTATTATGGGATGATAAATATTCCTTTTTCTATTGGAAATAAAAGGAGATTAAATAAATAAATAAATAAGGTTTGGGGCTGTATGTTAACCTTCATGCACAATATCTATCGCACTGATTACAGTTATCTTCATGGGAAAACAATTTTTGCAGCTATGCATGGGAAGTCTCAGTAAGAGTCGTTTTTCTTTCTTTAAGCATGACTTCTTGATCTCAGTGCTAATAGTATGCCTATAGGGAATGCAAACGTGACAAGATGAAAACACCACGTTCATCTGAAAGGAGAATTTTGCCCAGAGGCAAAATATTTTCCCCTTTAGAACCTGCTATTGTTTTTTCCCCCCACAGAAACTTCAAATACCAACAAAGGAAAAATATGTTGGACTTAAGAAAGCTTGGTGAGTGGGACAGCCTGATATTAGATCAGATATCTGCATTTGGAAACTAGAATTAAAATATTACCACTTATCTAGAGAAAAAACATCACCAATAGTAGCTCACAATTTCACAGCAGATGGAATTATATTGGCTACTACATGAGATTTTTCAGAAAATACAGCAAAACAAATTTACTGCATAAAATGGTTTTGTTTTCTCACTTGTTAACTGATACGAAAATTCATCGACAAAGGCAAATCTTCTGGGAGAAATGTAAAAAACAAAAATGAACTAAACTAAATAAGGAGCATTTTCTGCTTGTAAAACTCAGATAAAGAATAATCAGGATTCTGTTTCAGATGAAAATGTACAGACTGCTGTTTAAAATGAACATGTAAGATATCATTTCCACTGTACATTTTTGGAACCTAATTTAATTTTATGTTCACAATCTAAAAGTGCCTAGATATATATCCAGCAGCAAAGATTTATCACATTTGAAAAGGAGGTGGAAATATAATTAATAGAGTTATTGATGTACATCTAGAAATGTGTGCTTTTCTTATTACTTCAAACCCAAGCTGGTCACACACCCTGCATTGTAAACTCTCCATCAGGAAAGGAATGGAGAATTTGCAGAAACACAGACAATACGGCCAGAATGACAGCTGCGTACTTTCCGTAGTAATCCATGGCTCTTCTGCAAAACAGATATGGGGGAAAAAGTTACTCTAAAATTGGCTTACCAAGAACAATAACCAGTAGTTTGCATATTACTACTACAAAGTCATCAGTGTCTTGACCCCTCTGTTTACAGCTTCCAACACACTCTAAAGCCATGTATAAAAAAGCAATTTCTCTTTAGGAAAGAGATAGATAATTGAACCTTCCCATTTCTCGCATCAACCAATAAAATTGGGTTTAATGATAACAATAATCAATTCTCTTTTTTTAATCTTAACATCCTCTTAAGAAGCCTCAATGTTCTTATTTATAAAGCATGAAACTTCAACGTGGATGGATAGATAGATAGATGAATGAGCTTATATGTGATTTATAAAATATGCAAGCATTTGAGGACTTCCTTCCCACCACCACATTGCCAGGTGGGAGAACAGAAGGAAAGGACAATGTCTCTCCTGCTTTTTATTCACTAGTGGTAGGTGAACTGTAAGGCTAATTATCAGTGTGCAAAGTAAATGCTAACTCAGTAATGTGGCAAGAGTAGACAGCAGAGAGTATTAATCAAAGCCTTTCTAAATGCTTTTCCTGACTCACTGTAGATACGGCTTTACCTCAGCATTCTGAGTGCATGAGAGCAGGCTATGCAAGGTCAGCAGAGTGATCGACCATATCCAGGCATTGACCTCACTGCATCTGAGAACTGGGTTGTATCCCTACATGTTATAGAAGAATCTCAAGTAAGATAAAAGGGGCAGGTTTTTAAATCCCCATTTGTAGTGAAAATGTTATAGATTGCTTGTGTTCAAACCATGGAAGATAAGAAAGACAGAGAATAATTACCAATACAAAGAAAATTCAGAACATCTAAAGAATTAACACCAATCTTACAGAATCACTTTCAAAAAAAAAATAGAAGAGGGAACAGTTCCCAACTCATTTTATGAGACCAGGATTACCCTGACACCAAAACCAGACAAATACAGAACAAAACAAGAAAACAAGAGACCGGTATATCTCATGAAATTTGATTCAAAAATCCTAAACAAAATAATAGCAAATTCAACCCAGAAATGAGTAAGAAGAGTTATTCGACACAGCCAGCTGGAAATAATTCACAATATGCAAGGCTGGTTCAATATTTGAAAATCATTTAATATAATTCCCCACATCAATAGAATAAAGAAGAAAAATCATTTGATTATATCAATTGATACAGAAAAGCATTTGACAACATCTGATACTTCTACCTGATGTCTATAGTTATACAAAAGTCATTATGAATTTTATGTATCTTCAACCATAATTAACATGGAGTAAATATTGCTCTAAGTTGGTGGTTTTCAAAGTGTGATCTGAGGACCCTAAATACTTTTAGTGGGTCTGTGAGGTCAAAATAATTTTCATAATAGTACTAAGATGCTATTTGGGTTTTTCACTCTCATTCCCTCGTAAGTGTTCAGAGAAATTTTCTAGAGGCTATATGGCATATGAAATTTCAACAGATTGAGGAAAGAAGTGCGTGATGGGGGAGGGTATAGCTCAGAGGTAGAGTGCATGCTGCACAAGGTCTTGGGTTCAATTCCCAGTACCTCCATTAAAAAAAAAACAAATCCTAATTACCCCCCCCCAAAAAAAGAAGAGACAAGTAAACAAATAATAAATAAATTTTAAAATTTTTAAAAAGAAGAGCATGAGAATGTAGCATGTCCTAGTAGCCCAGCGCTTTTACAATTTTTTCAAAAAGATAAGACAATGCCATTCTTCTCACTGAATTTTTGTTTTGGAAATGTCATTTTTTAAATAAATATATGTTTGTGTTAACATGTGATGGCTTTAAAGTTGTTGCTTTTAAATGCATAAATATTTAAAAATTTTTTCCAACATAATTCTGAATCAGTAAATACTGATAAATATAATTTCATTTGAAAAAAAAAAGTTCTTTGGGCGCTTCAATAGTTTTTAAAAGCATACACAAGTTCTGAGACTCAAAAGTTTGAGAACCACTGCTCAAGTGATATACAAAGCCACAAGGAAAATTTCAGAATTGAAACTGGTTTCCTTTTTAAACTAGTATCATTTTTGTGCTTTGATATTGCAGCCCATATATTATGAAAATTCAGCATTATGCAGTGAACAATTATATCAGAATGAATTCAGAGAGAAGCGCTTATAACAAGATCACAGAACGTGAGCTCTCGAAGTCAATGCACGTGTTAGGATTATCTTTATGATAAAGTGAAGAGAAGACTGAAAAAGCAGAACTGCAGTCACCGTTGCTTCAGCTTTAATAACAGAAATGGCTTTGTCTTTATTTCAAAAGGAGATGAGATTAACCAAGCAGAAAAGGATTAACTCTCAAATTCTAGGTGTTTTTGAAAACATTTTAATAAATGTTTTCATCATCCTAATCACCTTTAAGTCTTTCTGTTTTGGAATTTGGAAGAAAAACATTAAGATCTGGGACAGGAACAATAATTATGTTCAGCTGGGATTTATGCTATTTTGCAAAACATGCTCCATCTAAATCAGATGTACTAATCTCAGCCTCTTGCTATTCCGAGTTAGTATCTTGCAGGCATCACAGACTCTGTATAACCAACCCTGCATTGCATTTCCAACACCCACTCAACAAGCTCCACCTCCTGCCACCTGCCACATCAGAATGACATGAGGCCAAGAAAATGTGTGTGTTCTCAGCTTGACCCGTAAGGCCTTTCTCCCCCTTCTCAGCCCACCCACTCAGTCTTTTAAGGAGATGCCCAGCCTCCAGCTTCTCTGTGAAAGTTTTATCCAATCCCAAAGTAAGAATAAATAACTTCCACTGCATTTGCCTGTCACTATGCTTATAATTTCTAGATAAGGTTCCACAGTCCATCCTGAACACTAGCCAGTTATGTACATGTTTGTCTTTTCCATCCCTTCTTAAGGGTGGAAACTGCCCCCTCTCTCCTACCACTACCCTAGCACCAGCCCTCGTGAAGGGTGGATGCAGTTATGTTGCATTGGGACTTTAGAACAGCAAAAATAATATCAATCAAAAGTTGCTTGTATAGAGCTGTCATTTATACTGAGGAACAAGATAACTCTTAAATGATAACTTAGAATAAATGTTTAATAAAATAAAATATTTTCAGATAATAAATTCATTAGAGACAATGGTATTCTCACTTAGCTGTAGAATTCGTAGCTGGCTAATATATGAATCTCTAAGTGTTAAATATGCCAAAAGTAGGAGTCATTTTATGCTAATATTTAAAAATGATAAGAATTCAAAAGAAAGCTGTAATAAAAAGCATATGTAAAATCTTCAGGGTTTCAATTGAGTGTCTCTTAGTTTGTATCAAACTATGTATGTACACAAATTTAGATTCTTAGTATCATATGACTCCATGAGATTAAAAAAGTGTTCTTGAAATTATGAAATATTATTGCCATAATGTACTATTATTTAACATGTTTACATAATATTATATGTTGTGATTATATATAATTAACGTATTAAGTGATTTATAAAATATGTAAATCCCACTGTACCATACACACACATATAGAGACATCATTATATATCTGTATATATCTCTCTATATGTATTGACTCACCAAGTACCATACACATACATACCAACCCCATGTAGGAAATGGGGTACAAAGATAGACACACTATTTTATGATGTGGGAGTGGCAAAGTCATACTGCAGAGGGAGTTTAGATTGAGAGATATTTTTGCAGCCACCCTTGATAAGTACACCTGCCATAGCAGTGAAAACTTAGAGGCAAAGAACAATAAGGCAGCTTCCCTTTGCAGCTCTTCTGCTGTTTTTATCACAGTAAAAAAAGTATTTATAAAGTAAGGTGCCAAGATTGAGAAATCTGTAATCCCAGCCTGTCTACCCTAGTATTGAAAGGCTTCAAGGCAAATTAAATATATATATATGTGTGTGTATATATGTGTACATGTATGTATGTACACACACACATATATATGTACATATATATATATACACATATATAAATAAAAGATTGTTCCAAGAAGATGACAAACACTTGGTACAGTGTGACATCCTGTCCTTCATTTATTTGCAGAGATGCTGCCATTGCTCCCCCACTGCCAGAGACTGAGGTTTTCAATTTTTCTAATGATGGTGGTGATAAATGGGGTGACTCATTCATGCTCCCCACACCAGGAAGCCTAGCTGACTCATAGCACAGTTTTGAGATGACTGGCTGAAAGTAGAGGCATAGTTCTTTGTTAACAAAACAGACTAAATCTAACTGATTTCCAGAGGGTTAACCTAAGCCTTCACCTCATTAGCCCCATCCAGCCCAGCTAACCACCAAGGACCAGAAAAGCAGGCTGCCTTCAGTGAACAATCGCTAATGAAAGAGACCCTTGAAAGCAAAGCCTTTAATCCTCGGCGCACTGCCTGGCATGAGATAGGAATTCAAGAATTGTTTGTTAAACAGAGGAGAGGTCTGTAAGTTTTAGCATCTTGCCTGGTCCAGCAAAGATACCAGTAGTTTAGCCTGCATGAAAGATTTGGTGGAGAGTCACAAGCGTAAGTGGAATGTTCAGAATCCTTCATCCCGCCAACTCCCACGGACAGGTCCTTGGACAGGTTCACCTCTACTTCCTACCGAGTGACCACCTCTTGTCTCCTGGTGGACGAATTTAAAGAGTCTGGAGTCAGTGGTCAGGGAACCCAGCTTGGAGTGGCCTTGCTTCTCTCTTTGTGTGCTCTAGTTCCATTAAGTGGGTTTTTACTCTGTTCTTGTAACATACTCTGAACCGCAGGTCTGGCAGCAAGTGAAATGGGTTCTATGAACCCATGCTCCAGCCCCCAACCTCAATAATCCTCCAGTTTCCCAGTTCTTCCAAGGAGACGTTCAAATATTGCTCCCAGGCACTAGAGAGACCTTGAGACCCATTAACACATTCACTGATCATTTACTCTAAAGGTAATGACAAAGGATGGCTAAGAGATTAGGGGGATGGACGAAGAGAAGCTGGTTAATACTC